ATAAGCAACAGAAATTTATTCCTCTCAGTTCCAGATGCTGGGAAGTCCAAGATCAAGGCACGAGCAGATATGATGTCTGGTAAGAACCTACTTTCTGGTTTATAGACAGCCAACTTCTCCCTGGGTCCTCATGTGGCAGAAGGAATGAGGGAGGTGTGTAAGGTCTCTTTTATAACCTAAGGGCACTAATCTCATTCATGAGGGCTCTAAAAGCCATGCCTCCTAATACGATCACATTAGGGGGTAGGATTTCAATGTATGAATTTTAGGGGGATAGAAACATTCAGTCCATAACAAGGCTGAAGCACAATGAACCCCAGAGGTACCAGGCTCATGTGCCCAGCCACCTGGCTAAACTGGAAGGGTCTCCGAGGCATCTGTGCTAATCATTTAGGGCACAGCCCTACCAGAAGAAGAGGAAACAGACCCTTTCTGGAAAGTACGACTTTTGAGAAGGCACCAAAGGATCCAGCTCTATATTTTCAGGGAAACTTTTGGTAGAATGAGAAAGGTGCTGGCTGAACAGAGAGACCCTGGTATTCCTGGTTCTGGGCTCAGGCATCCACCAAAGGGCTCTGGGAAAGGCCCCTGATGAAGGTCCAGGTGCAAGAAGCACAGATAGGCTGCCAGAGGCTGACAGTCCTCAAGCAGCTGGCGTCACCTCTCTGCGTGTTCCTGCTTCCTTGTTGCCCCTTTGCCCTGGGGGCACAGTGCCAACATCAACCTTGAACACTTCAGAGCTGAAGTCCTTGTTCCAATGCGCCCTGCCTGACCACTGCCTCTGGACCTCCTAACTCAAACACTCACATCTGGAACACAACACAAGTGGGTGCATTCCCAAAGGAGGGGCTGCAAGCTGGGTTGGGACTCTCAAGTTTATCATCCCTCAGGCAAGTCTTGGCCTCTATGAAGTCTAGCTTCTCCATCTGTGAAATGGGCTGACTCCTGCTTCATCATTCAATGAGAACCTTGCATTCACATTCTGGACCCTTGGTGGGCTCAGCAGAGTAAGCAGTGAAGATATACACAGAATAACTGTGTGGGTGAAAATGTCCTTCCCTGTTAATATATTTCAAGATCAATGTAATATACCATATCAATAGAAAGAAGGAAATAAACATGGTCATTTCAACTGATATGAAAAAAGCATGACAAAATTCAATACTTTTCCATGATATAACATTCAATAAACTAAGAATAGGAGGACATTTCCTCAATATGATAAAGGCCATATGCAAAAAATCCACAGCCAACATCACACTCAATGCTGAAAACTGAAAGCTTTGCCTCTAAGATCAGGAACAAGGCAAGGATGCCTGCTCTTGCCACTTCTATTCAACTTAGTGCTAGAAGTCCTAGCCAGAGCAATAAGACAAGAAAGAGAAATAAAGAAATTCAAACTGTAAAGGAAGAAGTAAAAGTATCTGTTCACAGGTGACATGACCTTCTATGTAGAAAACTCTAAAGAGTCCACAAAAACACTGCTAGAGCTAATAAATACAGTCTGCAAAGTTGAGGCATATAAAACCAACACACAAAAATAGGCTGCATTTCGATACACCAACCATGCGCAATCTGAAAAGGAAATTAAGAAAACAATCCTACTTATAATAACATCAAGCAGAATAAAATATATGGGAATAAATTTAACTAAAGAAGCAAAAGACTTGCACACTAAAAACTACAAAACATCACTGAAAGAAATTATAGAAGACTTAAATAAATGGAAAGACCTCCCATACTCATGGACTGGAAGACTTAATATCATTGAAATATCCATACTATACCAAGTGATATACAGATTAAAGGCAATCCCTATCAAAATCCCAACAGTGTTTTGTTTTGTTTTTTCAGAAATAGAGAAACCCATCCTAAAATTCATATGGAATCTCAAGGACCCCCAATAACCAAAATAATCTTGGAAAAAATGAGTGAAATTGGAGGATTCAAACTTCCTGATTTCAAAACTTATTATGAAGCTACAGTAATCAAGATTGTATGACATAGTGACAGACATAGACACCAATGGAATAAAATAGAGATCCCAGAAATAAACCAATGCTTATATTGTCAATTGATCTTTGACAAGGGTGCCAAGACTATTCAATGGGAAAAGGACAGTCTTTTCAACAAATGATACTGGGAAAACTGGATATCCACATGCAAAAAAATGAAGTTGGACCCTTATCTTAAACCAAGTTGTATAAAAAATAACTCAAATGGATCAAAGACCTAAACATAAGGGTTAGAACTATAAAACTCTTAGAAAAAAAAAAAACGGGGAAATTTCCATGACATTGGATTTGGCAATGATTTGGATATGACACCAAAATAACAAAAGAAAAAATGGGTAATTTGACTTTATCAAAATTTAAAAGTTTTGTGCCTCAAAGGAAACCATCAAGAGACTGAGAAGCCACAGAATGAGAGAAAATATTCACAAATTATATATCTGATGAGGGATTAATACCCAAAATTTACAAAGAACACCTACAACTCACCAACAACAAAACAAAAAAAAAAACAATTAAAAAATGGGCAAAGGACTTGAACAGAAACTTCTCCAAAGATATACAAATGGCCAATAAACACATGAAAGGATGCTGAATTTCAGTCATCGTTAAAATTAAAACCATGCAATACCACTTTACACCCATTAGGATGGCTATTATCAAAAACACACAAACAAATAAACAAACCCAGAAAAGAATAAGTGTTTGTGAGGATGTGGAGAAATTGGAACCCTTGTGCATTGCTGGTGGGAACATAAGATGATGCAACTGCTATGGAAAAGTTTGGCAGTTTCTCAAAAAGTTAAACATAGGATTACCATATGATTCAACTATTCCACTCCTAGCTATATACCTAAAAACAAAACGTGGTATGTACATATTATTGAATATTATTCAGCCTTAAAAAGGAACAAAAATTCTGATAGGTGCTACACTGTGAACCTCTTAAACATTATTCGAAGTGAAATGACAAATAATGTATGATTCCACTTAGATATGAGATACCTAGAGTAAGTAAATTAATGTAGACAAATTGGAATAGAGGTTACCAGAGGCTGGGACAGAGGTAGCGATGAGGAATTAGAATGGATACAATTTCTGTTTGGGGTGATGATAAAGTTCTGGAGATGGGTGGTGGTGAAGGTTGCACAACAGTGTGAATATACTTAATGCCACTGAATTGTACACCTAGAAATGGTTTTAAAAGGGTGAATTTTGTTATGTATATTTTACCACAATATACACATAGAAGATGGCCTGAATGAAAGAAAGCAATTTGAATCAAAAATGGTGATTTCTGATAGGCTGGCCTATTAGTTTTTTACACAAGCCTGCTGCCTGCTCTCTGCTGACCCGCCTTGAGTTGGCCTGAGCTGCCTAGTGCCTGAGGTAAGCCAAATTGTCAGGAACTCCCCCGCTCCTTTGAGGCAGGAAGTTTAAATTATCAGGTCAATTAGGAAAGATACAACCGAAAAATACAAGTTTCATTCACACTTCAAGGAGGCGTTTCCTGGCTGGGTGCCACTTTTATTATTTTTGGCGGAGGTGGCTGAAAGCCCCACAGACCCAAGTAAAGGTACAATGTGATCTTTGATTCGCGTTTCAAAGATCAAAGAGAGTGAGTTTGGGTGTAAATGCAGATAACATTTCAGAGATGGTTTCATGAAAGGAGTCATTAGACCAGGACAGAAAGGGAGCTGGTCTCTTACGTGTGTGTTCGCCTTGAGAAACATCTTTTTCCAGTGAATTCGGCTGCTGATGGCCCTAATAATTTCTGGCCTGCATCCAGGTCCTTGGCCTACAGGGCATTTGGTCTTTGGGCTGGGGGGCCGGCACCCCTCCCACCTCTTGTCTAGGCACCTTAAGCACACGGAGAGGAGACATGGGGCGGTGCACGCGAGCAGCACTCAACCTCATGCTCCACTCGCTTTTGCAAAGTCTCTGGGTGATGACTGGGCATGCCACTCCTGGGCAGCAAACTTGGCCTTGGCAGCCTGCCCTCATTGTCCTCTCTCGGTCCAGCCTCGACCGGGGTAGGCAGCACAAACCCACCCACTAGAAAACCCACAGGCTTGCCAGCCCCTAGGCATGCAGGTGGGGAGTCCTCACTGCCAGCCCTACCCTGCCCTGCCCTCCAGCTCCTGGGCCGGAGGTATGTAGAACCAGGCACTGGGTGGTGAGAGACACTTTCCATGGAAGCGCTACTGCCTCTCTATGCCCAAACCCTCCCTGATGCCCTCTGTCCCCAGCATCCCTTCTGACGTTCCGTAGCGCCCCAATGCCCAGCTGATGGAGGGCAGTGGCAATGGCTCAAACATCTCCGCTCAAGCATCTCTGGGGGAGCTAGGTGGGTGCCCGGCCCGTCCCTCCAGCTATCCGTTCCTCAGCCCCAGCGCGTTTCACGTCTGCCTGCGGGACACCGCCAGTCCTGGCCGCCCCACGCCTGCGAACGCCTCCTGAAACGCTCCAGGTACCTCGCGCGGCCGGGTTGAGCGCGCTCCCATGACTCCCCGCGCCGCACTGCTGCGCTGGCAGCGCCTGGAAGCGCCTGCGCGGTCCTGGGCCCCAAGGCTCAGGGCGCAGGCGCGGCCCTGCCGGGAGGCAGCGTAAAACATATGGGGCGGCGCGCGCACACAGGGGGCGTGGCTGCGCGACGTATTCAGCCTCTGAGCGCTGAGCGGGGTCGACCCGGTGTCGCTATCTTCGGCCGGAGGGTCAGGGGGGCGGCGGGAAACCGAGTTGCCGGCTGGGGCCGCGCCCCTCCATCTCTTCCTAACTACCAGTCCGCAGAGAAGCGCTCGGAGTCCCCGGACTGGGTCCCAGCTGTCCTTCCGAACGGCGAGCCTCAGTTTCTCGGTCCGCGCCGCAGACTGGGGAGATCCTGAAGTCATTTTCGGGTGCTTCCCGCGATCTTCGGAGGTCGCCCCCGCGCCCCGCCTCGCCTCACGGCGGCCGATATTGTTCTGCACTTTTTAGGTGGCACTTGGACTCGCCCTGAGAGGGAGACCGGTCCGCAGTCTCCAGCCGCAGATCCGTGGACCCTCTTCACGGACGCTTCGCGCAGCCTCAGGTAGGTCGGCTTCTTCTTGCAGGGGGACTTGTGAGCTCATTTCCCGGCGGTTTCCTGCATGGCGTTTGCGGGAGGGGTGGTGCAGTGGTCCGCCCTCCACTTGCTATGAGGCTTTGGGCACGTTATTCTATCCCCGGGGCCCCTCGTCTCCAGCGTTATCGGTGCTTTTTGGCTTTGCGGAGGCAAATGCGCGTGCGTCCTGGTACGTGCTCCTTGAGTAGAGCGCTGTGCAGTCCAGGAGAAGGGCCCAAATTCCTCAGTGTTAGGGTGGGGAGAGAAGGGATAGAGGTCAACAGACTGGTCGCCAAGGCGCCAAAGTGTTAAGAGACCCAGGCTTAGGAAGGTTCAGGCCCGTCAGGGCTGGCTGGTTGGAGCAAGGGAGCCTTCTCTCTCAGGCTGCGGGGGCCACACAGGCATGCTGATGAGCAGGCAGGGGACTGCTAGGGTTCTGATTGGGTTGGGATTTGGGGCTGGGAGGAAGCCAGGGCAGAGACCTGGGTAGTGTGCACTGTCTCCTGGGCATGGGATGTGGGTTTTGCATGCAGCCTGGCACTTAACCTCAGATTGGTGGCAGGAGCTGGGGTGTGGTTCGCAGTCACTGGTTTTCAGAATTCGATGAGGGACTGAACTGGACTCACAAGTGGACTGCATTTGTGTGCTGCCCCTTGGGCCACTGCCGCTGGCAGGCTCTGGCATATTCTTTTACTGTGTTAGGATGGGAAGGGCTTTCAGGTGGAAGAACCCCCACAGAGTGAGGGCTGTACCTGAGAGGTTCCAGAATGCTTGGGTGGCAAAGGTAGGTGCTCTTGGCCCTAGCAGCTTCGAGTGCTGCAGGCTACCCTGGGAGGTGCTCAGCAGAAAGACCAGCAGAGCTGTGTCTCCCTGGAGGAACTCACTCTAATGGGGATAGGAGAGATAAACACATGGGCAACTATGCGCAGAGGTGTGTGCAGGCCGTGGTGGCCCGACGTGAGTTGGTGGAGCATCAGGGTCTGTGTGGAGGAGTTGCAGAGTGTGTTCTGTGGTGGCTATGAGTGGACCTCCCTTTGCAGAGAGACTGAGGAGGAGGCCACTATCAGGCTGGGCAGTGTGAGAGCCCTGGGAGAGGGCTCCTAGTGTTGGAAGGGAACTGTATCTGGTGATGGTTGCAGCCTCCTTTTCCCCTGTGGGGCTCTTTGGGCTGCTCAGGGTTGGTGACCATTGCTCTCCAGGCCCTTTATAGCAGTGACTTTGGGGTGGTGAAAGAAGACATAGCAAGTGGAATTAAACTTGGGGGTTTGGAAGCTGGGCTGTCAATAGGAATGGGGACGCAGGGAGGTGGTGTTTGGGGGGGTGGCATTGCCAGCAGGCTACACTCTTGAGTGGTGAGGTGAGTCTGGAAAGCACGGGTGGGGAGGCTGGAGGGCACAGAGAATAGCAGGTCCCTAGGCTTCTGTTGGGCAGAAAGGTAGCACCTTCCAAGCTCCTAGTGCTTTGATGTTAAAGGATCTTGTGACGCTGTCTACTTACTTAACAGTCACAGTGTTTGGGGCGACTAGGTGACTGCTTCTTAGTGGATTGAAAGGTAGTTCATAACCAGCATGGTCATGTGTGATGGTTAAGCTGTGGTCTTTAGAGCCAGGTTCAGCTGCCTCCATCACTTACTGGTGGTTGGTGTGTGGCCGCAGACAAGTGAGTTCACTCACCACTCTGCCTCTGGTACGATGAGAGTACCAGCCTCATCAGGGGGTCAGTGTTTGGCACAGATAGAGCACTCAGTAAAAGGTAGCTACTGTTCGTTCTCCTGAAACTCCCTGACAGCCAGCCAGCCCATCCAAGGAAACCCTGGGGGTTCCAATCTGGCCCCCCTTCCTTCTCCTGGGACTGACAGCATCTGCCATCACGCCTTGCCCATGAAACATCACAGGTGGCATTTGCCCACCTTCTCAGACCTCCCAGCCCTGCCTCCTGGGCCTCCTTCCACTCAGAGCTCCTGGTTGGGTACCTGGGGTTTGCCTGCTTAGTGCCTCCTCCTGCTGCCCAGTGGAGGTGGTTGGGCCTGGTTCCCGCTCTTCCCCACCTTGTTTTTGGACAGATTGCCTTGGATGGTGGCCTGCATCTGACAGTCCCATCAGCTCTTCTCAGCGCTCCTGAGGCCACAGCTGTCAGCTCCTCTGACCCTCAGCACTTGCCTGGAACGCCTGGGTTTGCCACACCCCTTTTCAGCCCATCTCTGTCCTGTTGTGTCATGCCCACCCTCCCCGCTGTGCTGTCTCTTCCTTTCTTCCTCCTTCCTCTTATAGTCGATGTGGCAACTCCCCTCTGTTCCCAGCATGCCTCTTGGCCGGCGCCATTGGCAGGGCCCTTGCAATCCCATCCGGGCAGCAGCCTATTACACCAACGCACACCCTTGGCAGCAGATGGACCAGGTCTCTCCTGGGGTCACATATGCCCCCCCTAGTGGATCCCTGGATTGAGCGGCCCTGCTATGGGGACCCTGTGTGTGCACGCACGACCTTGGAGCAGAAGAACACGGCCATTAGTGCTCCTGGCAGTAAGCCCACAGAAAGGGGGCCCCCGGCTCTGCACATGCCTGGCCCATGGCCCCCAGGGTGGACTTCCACTGGGTGCCAGTCTCATACCCACGCACCTTTGATGGCTCCCCAGGGCTTCTGGACCAATATGTCCTTTTGCTTTGAGCACTATCAGGACAACCTCACCTGCATCTTCGAGATCCTAGGGCACCTGATGGACTGAGCCCAGGTGTGGGCAGCCCCCTACGTCGATGGGGACCTGCCCCTTCCTGACAATTATGAGCTCTTCTGCCAGGATCTCAAGGAAGTTGTTCAAGACCTGAACAGTTTCACTGAGTACCATGCTGTAGCACCTTGCTTCCTGCCTCGAGCCAGCCACCAGTGGCCTCCAGAGCTGCCTGTGGTGAAGCAGTACTTAGCTAGGTACTCAGAGGCCCTGGCACTCAACATTGGTGCTGTCCCAGTTGCTGTGGCCACCCCTGCTGTTTGTAGTTCCAACTTGACATCCAGAAATACTCTCCCTGAACAGCAGTGGGCCAAGGAGAACAGCCCTGGGTCTGTGGAGTCCTCCATCTTGTCTACTTTTACATGCAGCACTGATCCTGGTCCTGTGGGGCCAACCTCGTCCCAGGCAGGGGAGGTGACCCCTACATCTGTCCCTGTACTTTCAGGATCTGCTAACCTGCCTGCTCAGAAACCAGATCCAGTTCCACCAGGGGGTCCAGAACCCCAGAAGACAGAGGAGGAGGTTTCTGAGACAGAGGTAGACCAGGAGACATCCTTAGGTACCCCACAGTGCGTGGTGAACACCTCAGAGGCCCCAGGAGACCTAACAGTTTCCCCACTCCCCACCCCACAGCCCTGGATTCTGCACACAGCCCAGGCAGATGCAACAGTGCTCCTTGTGATGGAGTGGGCTACATAGTTGAGGACCCCCACAGCCCTTCAACAGGATGGGGTGGCTTTCCCAGATATTGCCGTATCCACTTGTTTTATTGCTGGGCAGGAGCTGCACCTGTTTGGGCTCTGCTCTGAGCCCTTGTCTCCTTCACCACCCCACCACCTGTTATAGCAGAATATTGGGCTCTATGCTGTGCCTCTCATCCTCTGACTTCCCCAGTGGCCCAGAAGCTGCCTCCTCAGCTGCATTTCCACTGGTTGGACAGAGTTTCATACAGCAGTCCTCATCAGATATTTGTATGTCTTTATAACCGCTCCACTCCCCAGAGCCCTTTGTTCAATGTTGGCTGGACTAGGTCTGCCATGTCAGCCCTATTTGGATCTGTCCCTGGATGGTGTCTCTGCTTTGGCCCCCTTCCCCATCTTGGCTCCCTGTGACCTCTGTCCTCTGGACTGGAATTTAAGGAAGGCTGCATGGAGGAAGCAGCCACTTTGATCCTTTAGTATGAGTGGGATGGCAGAGAAAAATGCTTCCCTATGGGTTTACCAGCAGCCTTGGCCAACTAGGGAGGTGAGATACAGACCTCCTTGCCAGTCTAATTCAGTGTCAGGCATTTTCCCCTTTTGTATATTAAGATTGCAGTTATGCCTGGTTTTCTTCAGAAGTTGGCATGAATTTCTGTGTCTCAGTGCCTTTGCCCATGTTGCCCTCCCACTTTCTGCTCTTCAGCAATCCCTGCCTCCCTGCCCACTCTTACACATTGCTGACTCAGCACTTAAACCATAACGCTATAAATGACTTGTATCTTTGGGTAGACTATGAGCCCCTAGGGCAGGGGCTCCATCTTGATCAGCTTTGCATCCCTGGTACACAATTTGGTACTCATTAAACATATGTTGAATTTATGGCTCAGCTTGTGGTGTGGTGGCTGCTGATGAGCAGACCCTTATTTTGTTAGCCGGAACACTGTTGCCTATTCTGTCGGGAACAGGCTAGGCCCTAGCCATGAGTGCTCTAGGTCGGTGTTGGAGGTGTGGTTTCTGGTGGGGGCTTTGAGAATTGAAGAGTCTGGTTGAAGGACGGAGTTAGGACTGGCAGGTAGAGTGTGGTTTTGAGAACTGACTTCCTAGAGCTGGAGGTGAAGTGAGGAGCAGGCAGCAGACCAGAGCTATGAGGCCCCGGGGCCAGAGGATTGGAATGAAAAAAGACCTGTACTGTACAAGGATGGGTTTTCTAATAATGAGAACTGGGCTCAGAAGCTCCCTTAAACCAAATTTAACACAGGATGGGTACAGTGTATCTACCCAGAGGAACAATTAGATAAGAGTGTCAAGTCTCTTCAGTTTTATAATTGTGGAAACACTTTCCTGGAAAGTAGGAAGAAAAAATAAATAGAAATGTGAACTGCTACTAAAACTAGTTATTTTAGAGAAAAATTAGTAATAAACATCTGGTAAAAATTTTTAAAATAGACATGTTGGGATTATTCAGTAATTGTCACTTTAAAAGGCTCTGGGTTCAGATGGTTTTATGCGTGAGCTATTTTAAGGCACAGATGCCTTGTAAATAAAACAGTTGCAAGTCTTAGAAATAAGTGGGAAGCTGATATAACCCTAAAAGCAAACAAGCAAGCTAACAGAAGAAATCACTGTGCAGCCTTGATTCTGATCAAGTGTGGGAAATCCCTGCACATTGTAACTCAGCCCCAGATGCACTGCTGCCCCTCCACACTATTGCTCAGTTCTGGACCCTCCTTTTTCAAACCCAGCTCAGACTGCTTCCCACCCCCACCCACTGGCCTACCAGTGGGTCTGATATTGTTGACCATATCTTTTGAGTTGGTAAGATGTCTCTGACAAGAGAACCTGGGGTTACTCTCTGGAGTGATGGCCCAGTCACTTAGTTGACATCCCCACTGTTGCTAGCCTCTGTGCAGGACACCTTTCTCATCTACATTTAGTGGACTTGAAGTGAATCCCTTTCAGCTCAAGATTGCCATCTTCCCTTCTGACTGCCCCCCCCCCGCCCCTGCCGCCATTACCATCTCCCTTGGGCCCCAGACAGCTCCTGCCAGCTTGGTTTGTAGTCTGGCATACCTCTCCTCAGGGCCAGCTCTCCCAAGGCAGGCCCAAGGGGATCTGTGGTGAGGCCAGATGACCTGTCTTTTAATTTGGAAAATGGGCCCTATTGTGGCTGGGCTCTCATCACAAAGGAAAAGAAACGAGGGCAGGGCCTTAGAGGCAAAGGCAAGGTTGCCAGTTCTTGGGTGCCCTTGTGGGTGGGATCAGGAGAGAATGGGAGGGCTCTGGCATGGCCTTGCAGATAGGCAGTGCATATGGTGTTGCAGAGTGACAGTTTCATTGGCAGCCATTGCTGTGCCCTGTCTTTGGGCAGATGCAATGACCTAGCCGCTTTCCTGTTCTGAGCAAGGAGAAGGAACAGAGAGCCAGCAGAGGAGGCCCTGCCATGCATGACGGGAGGAAGATCCTTGGGTCATTCGCCACTCCCAGCTCTTCACACACAGGTGGGCTAAAAGAGGCTGCTCCTGGGAGCAGGACAATCTGGCAGGGTTTGCTGGCTCTGCTCAGGGTCTGGCCGATGTGCTGGGGTCTGCCTACCGGATCATCGTGCCCGTCCCATACTTGGCCTTGGAAATAACCTGGAGATTTTATTTCCTAAAGATAGGACACAGTGGGCACTATGGAAGGGTTTTTAAAGTACATGTCTCCAAGGAAAATTTAACACCAGAAGTATTACGGATACGGTCCTATGAGAGAACTTTTTGTAAAGCTGCAACAATGAAAATACTTGGAATTGGTGTGGGTGGATGAACAGAGGAGAATAGAAAACTTTGAAATAAAGCCAAATAAATGCAGGAATTTAGTTCATACTGAAGGTATTGTTTCAAATTAATGGGGGTGAAATGGATTATTTAGTAAAAGGAGTTGGAACAACTGGTTAGCCATCTGGAAAATAGTAAAACTGCATATCCACCTCACTCTGTGCCAGGCTTCACTCCAGATGGATTAAAGATTTCAATATTTAAAAACATAAAAGTACTACAGGGAGGTATGGGTGATTTTTTTTTTTTTCTGCCTGTGATCCCAGAACTTTAAAAGTTCTAGGTATCCAGAATTGCTGAAGGTATGGAGAAAGAAGCTTTTTCCTGCTGTTGGTGGGAATATCAAATACTACAGTTCACCCACGTAACATTTCTAAGTACACACACCCTGACCACTTGCCTATGTGCAGATGGCTGTTGTTCTTCCTCAGTGTGGGGCTTCAGAGCATGGACTTGAGCTTGGTCACACCTTGCCTCCACTTGCAAGCTCATGGTCTGTGGTGTCACCTGACCTCATAAGGCGGTGGGAAGATCGAATGAGATAAAGCCTGTGCAGTGGCTGGAGCCCTGTCAAGTGCCTAGTGGGCACTCACTGCATTAACAGCAAAGCTGGAAACAACCCAAAGACCCTATAGTATGGAGTGAGGTAAATAGAGCTGTTGTCCTGTAACATCAGTCAGGTTGAGCCAGATTGTGCTGCAGTCAAAACCTCCCAAGTCTCACTACTCATCTGTCACAGACCAGCTGGGGTGGCCCTTGCCCATTGCAGAGGACCTGTGCTGACAGGAGTTCACTGGACACATTCTCCACAACCACAGAGGCAGGAGAAAGATCACAGTGAACCACAAGTGATACTTATCCCTCCTTTTCCATTACAGTGGCCAAAGGAAGCTGCCAAACCACACCTGAGTTCTGAGGGATGAGCGGCTAATCCTCCCGTGGGGTGGGGCCATCAGCATGGAGAAGGTGAACCTGATGCTCAATAGTGACCCTAACCTGTCGCCAGAGTGGGGGCAGGCCTGCATCAATACCCGTGGAAAGATGCCTGTGAGCTTACTAAGGCTGCGGGGCTTAAACAACAGAATGTATTTCTCCCAGTTCTGGAGGCTAGAAGCCCAAGATCAAGGTGCTGGCAGGGTTGTTTCTCCTGCGGTCTGTCCCCTTGGCTTGTGATGGCCATCTGCTCCCTGTGTCCTCAACATGGTTGAGGCCACAAGGTGGTCTCTGTGCCTGTCCTAATTTCCTCTTATAAGGACACTAGTCCTATTGGATTAGGGGCCACCCATATGACCTCATTTAACATTAATTTTCTCTTTAGAGGCCCTGTCTCCAAATAGAGTCACATTCTGAGAGGGTAGGGGCTAGAACTTCAACTTCAGGTGAATTTGAGGTCGGGGGGGGACACAATTTGCCCATAATAATGCCCAGGATGGATTTCTTGTTTTTCATTTTTGCAATTTCCAACAATGTTATGGTGAGCACCCTTTGGGCATCACCGAGTGGTGGGGTGCAGAGCCTCTCCAGGCCACAGCAGCAGAACATGCTGGGAACGCTTATTTCAGAAATCTTTGCCTGCCTGAGGGTAAAAAGACATTACCCTGTATTTCCCAGTTTTAATGTTTTGCCTTTTACATTGACTCTCAAGGCAGCTTGTGACTAATGGCGTGGTGTGCAGAGGGCTCTGCCGTGGTCATCAGATTGCCAGTGACGGGCAGGGCCCCTCCACCCATCTGTGCCAGACATGTAATAGGAGTGGGAATCGGTTTGAGATGTGGAGCCGCTGAGTTTGGGGGCTTGTGTTTTCCACAGTGTGACCTATTCTACCCTAACGAGTAGAGGCCCCTTTCCCCAGGTTAAGGATACCAAGCTGGCCCAGCCTGTCCATGGTGCCATCCTTCTCATACATGCCTAGCTCTCTGGTCTGGTCTGTCCTCACCAATGATCTAGCTTTATAGGGAGTCTTTATAGCGAGTCTTCATTATTTGGTAGAGAAATGTTCCCACCTCCCCCTCCCCTCCACTGACACCTTGTTCTTTAAGTTGTCTTGGCTAGTTTTTTTTTTTTTTAAGATTTTTTATTTACTTATTTGAGAGAGAGAATGAGAGATAGAAAGCACGAGAGGGAAGTGGGTCAGAGGGAGAAGCAGACTCCCCGCTGAGCAGGGAGCCCAATGCGGGACTCGATCCTGGGACTCCAGGGTCATGACCTGAGCCGAAGGCAGTCGTTTAACCAACTGAGCCACCCAGGCGCCCTGTCTTGGCTAGTTTTAAGAACACATGTCATCATAAGCACAGGATGGTACAGGGGACCATGGCGTGTCCGTTGCTTGCCTCCAGCGGTGGTCAGTCCTTATCTTGGGGGTGCTGTGTTGGTGGACTGCCTGGCCAAGTGAGCTGTGCCGGACAGCGGGAGTCCTGAGCTCACTTTCTCTTTGGGCTGTGGCGTCCTCATTTGTAAATGGGCAACATGATCTCTCTGTTACAAGGGTGTTGATGGTGAGCCTGGGAGGAGTCCCTGGCCTGCAGGGTGCCCTTGGCAGCCCATTCCTTCTCTCCTGGCCTCAGGGCTATACAGCCAGGGCTGGGGCCTGTGGGTGGTGGGTGCTCATCCACTTGCCAGGTGGGGCCACCGGACGGTGGAGAGGAACATTCTGGTCTGCTCTCCACCTGTGTGCCTGAGCATCACGGGGCCTGGGCTAACAGCCCACACTCTGCCACACAGCTGGCGAAGTGTGGGTCCTTTCTGGTCAGTGTAGGGACGCCTGGCCCTGGGAGTGCCACATCTCATGCCCCATGGGGTCCTCAGTGCAGAGCGTCGTTCACCTTGACACTTTTGCACCATAGCCAAGGTTTTCTGAAGGCCATGGGTGGGGAGATGGGCAGCCTGTGAGGGCCTGCAGGGTAGGGGAATCCAGGAAGCATGGGGTGGCCAGGCACCTGATCCAGTGTGCTGTCCCCTAGGGCATGGCAGCCTTCCTACCACCAAGACCCTGTGTTCCTCTCCCTGAAAATCAGGGTGCAAATGGGAGCCATGGATGGTGACGGCCAGGAGGGTAACTCCGGG